TTATTTTGCTTTGTTGTAAGTAACTGACAGACTGTAAGTGAAGGGAATGTCAAAACTAAAATCTCTCTAATTTTACTTTTGGTTGACAAAAGTCATTTAGAACACTTTTATAGGTCTTAAATTGTTGAATGAAGGTGTCGTTTGGGACTGTCTGATTATAAATAAATGTCACCGTTTTGTATTTATGATGACTTTTTTTCTTTTTGTCAACATTGTATTTATGATGATGACTAATGTAGAAAAATGTGTGATGTTTTGTTTTCTCTCGTAACTGCGTGTTTGTCAGGTAATTATAACATGATTTTTTTTTTTTTGAGAAAGTAACATAAATTTATATGTGTATCACGTGAATCTGATCTACTGTTGATATAAGTTAGATTTTGTTATACTCTAAAACTTTTTCCCAAAATTTTGTGTTAATGCACGAACCACAAATAATAACCTCAAAACAGATCTTTTAGCCTGGAAAATCAAAACCTTTTTTTTTTTCTTCTTTTACAAATATGTATGTACTGCTTAATTTATTCGTATAGCTAATATTAAAGAAATATTTTTAAAATGTCTTTGGATTTTTTAAAGAAGAATATGGTTGGATGTCCTAGAAGTTAGATTCTGAGGGATCTTCCAAATAGGAGAAACTTGCCGTTTTCGGTCTTCTATTTTTTTTTTCGTTGTAGAGTTATATTTATAGAGAGTTTATCTTGAGAATTTACCACTAAATTAGTCTAGGATTTCGTAGGTAGATAAAGTCCTATCAATCGTCTATCATATGTTCCGTAGGTGAATGATTGTCTTCCCTAAACGGTAAATAAACCATCCTTATATTTTGCTGATTGTTTTGTATGTCAGAGACTAGACAATCTCATCTCTGTGATAGAAATAATTTACTATTTTGCTGATATAACGACTTTTTTCAATGAAAAATGTAAAACCATCCCAACACAAACTACATGTAAAGAATCTAAAACAACACATATAACAAAAGAAATTATTTGTCAGCTAAAGTATACGACTTATTATAAAGAAGTATAAACCTTTTGTTTTGTTTTAATTAAGCTAATGCCTATTTTGACATACTGTATCAGATTAAAAAATATCGTCATGTTTTGTTATATAATTTTACGATTTGTTCAAAATTTACGTTCCGATGAGGTGTCACATGTCTCATAAATTTTTGACATGTATCATTTACCTTTAACTCAATAAAAAACTAATTTTGTTTTGCTTTTATAACCTTAAAGAAATGTTTATAAAATTAAATTTTTACCAACAACTAGATAAGAAAAAAAATCATT